GTGTTGCCCCAGGATTGTCTCCTCTAGCTACATCAACCCAGCCCAAGCAAAGGACTTTCAGTTCTTGGCTCCATGTGCCTCATAGGCCATGGACCTGCTGTCTGCATGTGTCAAGGAGTATCCTTTGGTGGGACATCACCCCACCATAGGAAGCTGCCTTCTGCCAGCCATACTGCCCAGGACTGAGCCTTGTCCAATGGCAGGCATGACACAGACCTGTCCCAAAGCGCTGCCCATCACCACACAGACCCAGCCCTGCCTGTAGTGCCTGCAGACCCCGGCACCTCCAGAGCCCACTGGGGTCTGCCAGCTCCCCCATGCAGGGTGTGGCATCATGGGCTTTCCAGTTTTAGCCAGAGCAGGGACAGGCCCAGCTGGTTTCCATGCAGAAGGAACAGGCTGGTGCTATCTCATGCCATGCTGTGCTATGGCTTCCAGCAGGGCAGGGCAGAGGTGGAAGGGGGCTGGCACAGACAATGGAATGCCAGGCAGTAGGAGCAGGGACAGCAGGGGCTCAGGGCAGCTTCAATGTGCTGCCCTCCCCAGACCACTGCACTGTGAGGGGTCCTGGCAGGGCTCTGACCCTTCTGCTCCATCCACTTGGCCCAGAGGGGATGTTTTTCAAGCTGCCCAGCAGCAGGGATACGCATGGCTGGTGCCAGAGCTGCCTTTACTCCCCTGCCTGGCTCTTCCCTTGCACCTGGAGTGAGGCAGCTCTAACCTTTCTTGCAGACAGACCCTGCAGATCTCTCCTTGCCCCTGGCCCTGGTTAACCTCCCAGAGGCCCTGCCCCAGGCCCTGTGGGACAGACATGGGGCACACTTGGTACCGCTATGGCCAGCCCTCACCAGACAATGTGCCTGTGCCCATCACACCACAGCATGGCCCAGCAGTGCCCCTGCTGCAACCCCTGCACTTGACTCCCAGACCAGGACCAGGGGCCGTCCCTAGTGTGTCTCTGGGTGCATGGTGCTGCACCTCATCCCAGCATCTCAATCCTCCCTGCACTACAAGGGTGACCAGGGGCCATGGAAGACAGCTGGAGGCTGCAACCAGCCTGGGATCAAGCTCTGGGGCTCCATTCTGCACCCACTGCCTGCTGAGCCCCTCTGCACCCTGTCAGAGCTGTCAGCAGCTCCAGCTCTGCTTCAAAGGGGCCACAGAAGGGCCTGGCAGCTGTTTCTCCTAGCACTGGAAGTGCTTTCAGTAATGGTGAGGAGCATGAGCTCACCATCCCAGTGAGGACAACGGTGACATTTGGGAGGCACAAACACAGCGTGATTAGCTGATAACCTTTTCTGAGAGATCCCAGGTGTGTGCACCTGGGAGGGGAAAGGGAGGGGGACGAGGCCCCCACACTGTGAGCCTTTGGAAAACAGCTCCAAATGCCCCAGCCTGCCCCTTGACACAGGACATGGAGAGTGCCCCAAACTGGGGCCAACTGACCCTACAGACCGGGCACCCTGAGTGTGGACACCCCTCTGTGGCACCTGTGGTCCAGCTGTGCCCATCTGAAGGGGTGGTTCTAGGACCCCCATCGCACTGGGGCAGCCCCCCAGCACATCCCACAGGAGTCCCCAGGCGCTGGGAGACACAGCATCCTCCCTGCACACAGAGGAGTGTTAGCTCTGCAAGCAGAGGAGGATGTGGTTTCAGAGCAAGGTGCCAAGGTCTGCCTTTGGCAAAGGTGCCGGCTGGAGCAGGGACTGTGCGAGGATTGCTCCCACACCGCGGATGGGGCCGTGCTGGGAGCAGACGTGGTGGGGCGGACAAACAGCGCTGCAGAGAGGGTTCCCCATGCACGGTGCCATGCTGTGAGGGAAAGGGACTCCTCCTCAGAGGGTCCGCACATGCGACATGCCCCCTCCCTGCCCTGCTGAGTCGGACCAAATGCCGGGGGCCAGGCTCGGGGTGTCCGGCAGTGAACAGGGAGGGTCTGTGTGCAAGCTGGCAGGAACTGGGCAGGGCCAGGAGGTGCTGGGTGGGGGCTGGGAGGGCGGCAGGGCAGTCTCGGCTCCGCAGCTGGGCCGGGAGCGCTGCCAGCACATTCCTGGGGCTGCCGGGCAGCGGGCCTGTGTGTGGGCGCAGGGCAAGGGCACGGCAATTGCTGACCCTCCCTACTGCCCACCCCGATGGTCCCACATTACCCCCGGGCAACCTCGACCCCACGGTGTCCCCAGTCATGCCCCAACCTCCCGCGGCCACTCCCAGGCAGGACCACCCGCACGGAGCCGTGCTGCCGGCCCAGGGCGCTCTCTCCGGAGAGCTGCTGGATGCCATGGGACAAGTGTCCCTGCACGGACAGTCCCAGCGTGCCG